GAAGACAACGGCAACAGTGGAACTTGCCAGCCAAGACAAAAACTTGGGACGTAAAAACCCAAGGGACGTACAAATGATGTCCACCGAACGCCCATCACTTCGCCGAGTCGCGGGGGCCACTGTCGAACTCGTCAATTCGCATGCTTCGCCACAGGCAAATGGGTCGCAAATGAACATTTTGTAACAAGATATTTCGAAAGTCAGAATTCTGGTCAATAAGCACATGCATCTGTGTGGTCGCCTCGTTCTGCGCTCAGTAAAATCGTTCCACGTGGCGGATTTTGGGACTCTGACGAAACGTATACTGCCCGTAAAACAGAGCAAATGAGCAGACTAAACCGATTGCGATTGATTACGGGCAAAACGTACGGTGGACATCATGTGTACACAGCAAATTCTTCAGGAGGTTACCGGGTATTTCGGAAACTAGAAATTTAGTCCCCCGTCGCGATCCGCGAGTGCCAAATCGGTAACATTCGAACATCCCATTCTTTCTGTGACGAGGTGCGCGAAGTGCAGGGGACACACTCAGTCCCAGCCACCCAAAAACATGGGGTGACTGGGCAACAAGGGTAGTGTATGTGGACGAGGGAGTATCGGTTGGTGGAACAGTGTAGACAGGGCTGTCAACGAGGGGACAGACAGTGCGACTGTGGGTGCAACGGTGTTTACTGAAGTACTTAGAGGACTTCAGGGAATAGTTGGGGGCATTGCGAGAATTCTGCTGCAAAAATTAAAAAAAAAAAATTAAAAAATCCTACTGGCTATGCTTGTGTCGTGTCACCCGCGAGTGTATTGCGAGAGTTTCTCGTAGGTTGACAGGTTAGATATACAGCAGGGCTTAGTTTTCACCGGTTATTCTCGGATGACATGTTTGGTTTTGAGAAGCACAGATATTAAATCTGCTTACACCACCCCACAGATCCCCCCGCCATTCCCTCCCCCCAGCGCACATCAGCTGTAGCAAGGAAGTTCAAGAAGTAGAAGTATAAGAGCTGAGCGCGGTACTCTTACGTGGTTCCCTTTGTGGAATCCAATAACTTTTCGTAAGAGCATTGGTCATCACGGGGAAAAAAAATCCGGGACTGAACCCGGACATTGACGGGTAACGTTCCAGATAAACCCGTTCTATCCGGGACCCGTGAGAGAGATACCCGGATCTGCCGTGTGGACGAAAACCCTAAGGTAAGCCCTGATATACAGCCACTAGATCGGGAAGACACTCGCAGATGACACGAGGCAAGGATACTCCACAAATGGCGAATGAATAACATGTTATTCGATGACGGTCTACGGGAAGTTTCTCCAAGCTTGGGAATGCTTCTTGTTTTTTTTTTAAGAACCAGACCTTTCTGTCCTGCGGAACGCTTATCTACGCTGAAGGAACCGACCTGAGCTAAGCTCAAAACAATGCCACTGGTTTAGCTTCTCAACAAAGAAATGACGGAAACCTTCCAAAAATTCTGGACACGCTTTGTTCTGTACTAGAGCTCGGGTCTGATAAAATTCACTGCCGTGGAAGGAGGTTTCAATTCAATTCTGTCATGTTTACTGTACAGTACCTGTAATTTCACGGCTCTGTTTGAGTGACAGGAACTAATTACTGTAGAGCGCCACATGGCATGGAAGTCAGTAGTGTCGTGTAGAACAACACATGATTTGCGGCACTATCAACTCATGGTAAAACTCGTTGTCACTAAAATTTGACGCTGGTTGTGAACACGGTCATCCCAAAACTTTATGGCACACTAAAATTAAGCAGCGAGTGTCATATCTGAGGGTTTAGCGAGTGTGGGGTCTGGGGCTGGGAAAAATTGCCCCAAGCCCAAGAGACAACCGATAGTGCCTGGCGGGTGGTCGACTATTCCAACAACTCAAACTTTGAGCGGATGATTACTTTTGCTCCAGAATTTACCCTGATTACAAGAAATGCGAAAAAACTTCAATTTTTGCGATATCATATATGTGACAAATGGGGTATCTTTATTTTTTAACAAGCACATTATTTTAATTATATATTTATGTGTATATAATTTGACAACTTGATGCACAAAGACCACAGGAAGAGGGGAAACATAGAAGGACAGGTGGGGAGAAATAAACAAGGACAAGCAAAATGAAACAACTCCATACGCATGGGAAGAAACCAAGGACCTTGGGGACAAGAAGAAACATGTCAGCAATCACTCCCTAATAATAGCAGCTCAGACCGGCAGGTTAACCAAGTAAGGCGCAATCGCCCAAGGAGCCCCCCACCCATCCTCATGCCCCCTCCCTCCCCTCCCCCCCCCCCCCCCCCCCCCCCCCCCCCCCTCTCAGCCCACACGACATCAGGTCCGCCCATCATAGAAGCCACACGCAACAAAATGACCCGCGCCTGGGCCCGCTGCAAGGCCACCCCGATAGCGACCTTCAGAGACCCAATCAAATCAACCGAGAATGATTTGTCAGTTCCGCTGACCATCCCATTGCTTTTTGCCACCTCAAACTGGGCATCCCCTTGCTGCCGCAACCACCGGCAGAACCTCCTCCTAGGCAGCCCTAAGTCTCAGCAATGAATGGAGTGAATTGCATGCCCCTATATCGCTGCAACAATGCCTTGTAATCCGCCGCCTTCTGCTTCTCCCTCTCCTGGGCAGCAAACCCCATAAGTTGCCCGATCTGCCCATGCTGCTGCGAGGAGAGGGAGATGGGATCCACGACGCTCACCTGAAGCGTGTGCGGCTCCCCCTCCATTGGTCGGCAAACCACCACATCCAACTTCTTACCCAGCAGAAGAGTGTCATTCTTCATGGTGACCATTTAGTCAGGGCTATTCGCAATCGAGGCCGCGACAAGGTCACTGGTTTTGTGGACACAAGAGGGAGCATAATGGTGCTTGCAGCGAAGGGCATGACGCGGGTCTGACGGATCGATAAAAGCCGTCCCACAAGCGCACTTGCCCGTGACCATCAACTGCTGAATTGGCAAGCCGAGGCGCATGGTCGCACAGATGCTCCATTCGGTTACACTAAATGTGACGTCGTCATGCGTTGGAATCGCAGAGATCCACACCCCCTCTACCTGGCCCTAAAGGTATGTCAAACGGGCCAGAGTCGCGGCGTCGCGAACTATGCGGTGGAGCGTCTGTAGACGCTCAACAACCAAACTACGCTGCTGAATGGGGAACAGCAACGACGGAGGATCGGCCATACACAAGGAGAGGGTCGGCATCTCCTGCCAAATCGACAGAGGAAGCAGGTCCACAGCCCTCGCAAACCAGGGGTAAACGAGTTGCCCCGCCTCCTGCGTGCGGAAAAACTCCGGAAACATCAGCTCCTCGCCCTTCACCCCTAATGGGGGGCAATGGCAGATAACGCATGACAACAGCCGCACTCGTAAGATCGGACTAAGGTCTACTATTATTGATATCGTTCTGTTTAGAATATCATATATTTTTGCTTCATTACTTCGCATGAGACAAAATACAGTATATATTGCTGATTTATTCAATAGAGATAATACTTATCTAGGAATCCAGTATGTTCGATCTCATATGGATAAATGATATCATATGATGTTAGTTTTGAAGTATAATCGAGGTTCGAGCCTCAAATGGATATGCCCCTTGTTAATGCGTTACCTCTTACTTATTCCCCACCAACGCAGCTTTGAGATTGTTTGTTTTCCTTTTTCCAGATTGCATGTTTCAAATCGGGAGTGGGGTGGTTCAGTCCCCTAAAAATTGCGAGCCTGCCTAAGGCTGTCGAAGGGATGCTGATATGATCTCCTAGAATGATTTCCGCTGTTTTGGAGATGCGAAGGTTGGTGGGAGGCAAAGGTCATGTGTGCTGCAGTGGATTGGGGTGTCGTTGGAAAATGTGTGAGACACGTCTAGTCATCTCATCATGATCACCACACGCATCCCCCCCAGATAGGCAGAATCGTGCAGCCATCGCGCGTGCACATGGGTTGCACTGGCACCCGCCTTGTTGTGACGCGGCGGATCAGCACGATAAATATAGATTTGGATTTCGACAGGGTGAGACCAGGGCTTACGTTAGGGGTTTTGCCTACACGTCAGATCCGGGTTCTGCTCCCTCGCGACCCGGACAGCACGGGTATTTGTTAAGAGTCACCCGGTAGAATACGGGTATTTAAAAAACAGACACGTCATATTCCGGGTATTGTTTTCGTAATATCGAAATGCATGGTTTTATGTGAATAGGCCTTGATTGACAGAAAACAAAACACACTAACACACCGACCTCATCTACTTGCTATGACACCTACCTTTCAGCATGTGCTCAAAGTGTTGGTGAACATGGGCATCTTGCTACAGATTCGGAGACACCTGCTCAAGCTAAAAGACTTGGCGGTATTAGACACAGCTGAGAGCGAGCATGAACAAATTTCAATCTGTAATGCCTAAGGTTGAGAACCAGCACTTGTACTTGACATAACTCATCTGGAGGCTTGTTCTTGAGTCGCGACAGCAACTCCCCCTCTCCCTCAGAGGGGGAGAGGTGGGGGGGGTGGTGGATTTGAGGGGGGAGGGGGGGGTTGTTTCCACCAGCGCTAGAATTCGGGTTTTCGAAAATCGTACCCGTCAAATAAGTGTACCTGGCAAACCTTACACGTCAATTCACGGGTACAAGCCAGAAGACACCCTTCAGAATCAGGGTTTATAAAATCTGAACACGTCAGATTCCGATTGTGAGAAAAAAACCACCCGTTATTTTTCCAAAATCCGGGTAATTACCCGTCAAAAATAAGCCCTGGGTGAGACAAGACTGCTCGTGCCTTGGCACAAGGGACGCGTTTTTGCCAAATCTACCCATGCCGACCAGTCCCAAACTCCCCCACCAGTAAGGTTTTGGCGTTTGTGGAGTTCAGTCACCATTTCGCGAGGTGGCAGAGGCGTACAGAATTTGAGGAACAACAAAACAATGGACGAAGGTAAACTAGCGCAGCGGAAATTCCAGCATAGAATTTCCACCAGCACCATTCATTCCGTACGTCGCACCGCAGCGCTTCAGGAGGAGGGGGGGAATTTTTCCGCACCCACGTGCTCTCCCCTCCCTCACTCACACATAATAAACCAGCCCCGACAAAACTAGTGTTCTCATTCCTCTCTCATGCTTCTCATTCTTAGCTCCGCAAGCTGAGTTGCCTTTTCCAGTGGAGTACACCGGCAGTTTGATGACGAAAGCTCCCGCATTCACCGTCAATTTTCGGCAATCAGCGCCGCTGTTGGTGCGGCACAATCACACGCAAGCCACGCTGCTGGTAGTATACATAGGAGTGGTTAAAACAGGAATCCACTTTCCGGCGTAAATGGTTATCGCAGTGATTCGCCCGACTCGTACTAGTCGTCCGCTCGACGTCGGGTTACGACATTTTTTTGCTATGAACGAGCAGCCACAGGCACTTGGCGACAGCGGCGACGGCAGCACTCTTATTAGCGGCAATAATAAGCGATCCAAGGTCGTTCATGCGCACGATTGGAGTCTCAAGGCCCTTAAAGCTGGCCCCGGCGGCGGCGGCGCCGCCGCCGCCGGCCGTCGCGACCGAAGAAAGCTCGATTCCGCGTCATCGTCTCCCGGAAGAGACGAACGCGAAGCGTCGCCGCCATCCCGGGAACGGTCTCCCGCCACGGTGGCGACGACGCCGTCCCTCCAGGGAGCGGTCTCCCGCCACCGTGATGATGATGATGATGATCGCCATTATCTTCAACACCGCCACCATTACCATCACCATTTTCACGCGGCTTCCAGCAGTGCCGGCTCGGCGACGGCCGCAGTGGGAGTCACCGTGACTGCGCCGGCAGTAAATCCCGGGTTTTCTTCCGTGCCGAACGCCGCAATCCGTCGGCGAAGCGTCGCTCTGACGACAACGGTGCCTGGGTCCGAGCCGCCGCCGCTAGTAACAGTGTTACCAGCGCGCGATGGCGGCACCAAAGTGGCGAATGCCGCAAGCTCAGACATGGATTTCGGTGGCAATGTCCGTCCGGCGTTTCCTACTAATAGGACTACTAGCACTAGTAGTGACGCTGCTCCCCAGCTCGGTGCTACAGCCCCTGCTGCGGGTGGTTCCTCTGATATGCCGCTGGCGTCACCCACACCGGCCGCCGCCACCAGTGGCGCTGCTACCAGCAGCCGCACCGTGAGCGGAACTTCTAGCACGGGCGGTGCTGTTGCTGCTGCCGGTCACCAGCACGGCGGCGGAGGCGGCGGAGGTGGAGGAGGCGGCGGAGGCGGCGGAGGTAGAGGAGGCGGCGGGGGCGGGGGGATGGTAACGTGTCGCGTGGATGGGTGCGGGGAGGATCTGTCGGGTGCCCGTCCGTACAACCGGCGGCACAGGGTGTGCGGGGTGCACACGCGCGCGGCTGTTGTGAGCGTGGACAGCAACCGGCAACGGTTCTGCCAGCAATGCAGCAGGTGAGAGGCGCAGCACCACTGGTTCTGATGGTGCTGTCGGCGTGACCGGGACGGCGTTCCACTACACTGCGTGAAAGCATGGATCATCCATCCTGATGCTGCTGTTGGTGCTGATTGTGCTGATGCTGCTGCTGCTGCTGCTGATTTGTGCTGATGCTGTTTATGCTGCCGTCTTCAAGTCATCCTGAGACGGTGCCGTAACTGAATGATTTTGTCCCAGGCACCCCCTTCTGCACATGCCGGTGGCACATGCACGGCAGCTCACACATGCCGAAGCTCGCCGCCCGGCAATTCTTTACCCTTTTTACCCTTTATAGATGGGGCCACTCTCGTGTATGCACACATCCCCTCCCCAACTCCCCCCCCCCCCTCCCCATTCCCACCCCCCTCCCCACCGCATCGTCACTCACGACACGCCCGCCCGGCTCCCTCCCTTCCTTGCTTCCTCATGCCGCCCAACGCCCCTCCCTCCTCTCCTGCTCCAGATTTCAAGACCTGGACGACTTTGAGCCAGGCAGGCGCAGCTGCAGGCAGAGTCTGCAGTACCACAACAAGCGCCGCCGCAAGGGCGACGCCAAAGCGCTCCGCACTCCCAGCGCGGGCGCAGGCGTCGGCACACCCCCAGGGGAGGGCCACACGGGGGGAGCTGTTGACCCTGGACGAGCGTCGAGCTTGGGACGAGACGGAGGGTGGAGAGGCGAGGAGCAGCGGCCAGGAGGCACAGGTGAGGGGGGAAGAGTCCGGGCGTCTGCTGCACGGCCGGAGCGTGCTGTATGTTACCGTCTTCACTTTACCCTGCCTAGTGCCGCACAGTGAGCGTATGTGGGCTCATTGTAGTGTGTCTCTCCGTGTGTGTGCGTGTGTGCGCGTCTGCGTGTCTGCAGGATCATCCAGTGATAACTCTGGAGAGGCACCCGTGGCAGGCATCTACCAAGGCCTGGCCGGTCAAGCTGGTCAAAAGGGACAAGCGGGACAAGTGGGTTTGTCTTTTCGCGGTCCAGCAGACACGGACGGGCCGAGGGAGCAGCAGCAGCAGCCCAGTAGCCACTCGACGCAGATATCTCTTGCAAGTTCTGACTTGGTGCTAAGTCAGCTGCAAAACACATCAGCAGCAGCAGCGGCAGCAGCAGTCGGACAGCAGGAGCAGCTGAGCCAGCAGCCCCGGAAGCAGAACGCGCCTCTGCAGTTTCTACTACAGCAGCAGCGCAGCACGAGCAGCGGCAGCACTGGGTATGGCAGCAGCCTAGCTATCGATCGAGCCGAGGGACAGGTCGCTTTCTTCGATGCACAGCAGCCGCTTCAGGCGCTTCAGGCGCAGGCGCAGCAGCAGCAGGCACCTCTTGTGCTGCACCAGCAACTGCTGCAGCTGCAGCAGTCGACGCTTGCGCTTCGACCCGTTGTACCAACTCCGGCGATTCAAGTGGTTACATCAGCTCCACAGTCGGCAGCCGTTGCTATCAGCCACAGCTGGGGAGTGGAGCAAGCACACGGGGAGTTGCCTGTGTCAGCAACAGCAGGCGCAGCAGGGATGGTTGCGTCAGCAAGAGCGAAGATCAACGCAGGAGCAGCGAGGGACGGGATGTCATACTCTGCTGCTTCCCAGTCAATAGCAAGGCCCCCTGCCATCACATCTCCTCTGCTGAGAGAGCATGCCACTCCTTGGTCTGCCGCTGCTGCCGCTGTAGCCGCTGCAGCCACCGCAGTCACTGACTCGGCTCCTGTTGCTGCTGCTCCGCTTCCCCCGCTTCCACTGGTACCTCCTTCCGGCAACCCGCTTGGGTTCGACCCAACGCCAGATGGGCGGTTGGGCACGTCCCTCTCACTCTTTGAAAGCCATATCTCCCTCCAATCTCCCACAAGGCTCCAGCAGCCTCCGCCCCCTCCTTTCCACATGGCTCCTCCTACTCCTCCTTTCCCTCCAATGCAAGACCAGATTCTGCTGCCGCCGCTCCCGCTCCCTCTCCCATCCTCACCATCTCTCCCCCCCTCCTCTTTTTCGCCCCACCTCTTCCCTCTCCCTCGCAGTAGCCCTCTGCCCGCTCAATTTCCAGGTGCACAACCCCAAGGAAGTTACGCAATGAACCCAGCAATCAGCCCCCCTGCCTCGCTTGCTACTGCCCACCAAGCACCACGGGATGCTGCCGAGCCTGCAGAGACGACATTTCACCTTGGCCGTACACCAGCACCACACGATCTGGCTATTCCTCCCTTTGCTGCCGCTCTTGGTGCTGCTGCTCCTGTCGCTGCCGAAGCACCACTCACCGTGCCGCACCACACAACCCCCTCTCTCGCGCTGCCTTTCTCCATCCCGCTGCTGCAGCCGATGCAGTGGCAAGCGGAGCAACCAATGCAGGCATTAGGGGAAGGGGAGGCAGACTTGGGGTTCGGGAAACTTGGCTTTGGAGAGGGGCGAGCAGAAAGACGAGCCGAAGGAGGTATGGTTGGTGGGGTTACAGGTGTGGGGATGGGGAGAGGGAGCGAGGGAAGGGAGGGATGTGGGGTTTCCGGGGTGAGGCATGCACACATAACGGGGGGGGATCATGGGGGGCTGATGAGACTGCATGGTGGTGGCTGGATGGTGGGTGGAACAGAGGGAGCAGCAGCAGCAGCAGCAGCAGCAGCAGCAGGTGGGATTGGAGGAGAGGAGGAAGGAGGAGAGAAGGGAGGATGTGGAGAGGGAGGAGGGGGGGGGGAGGGGGGAGATGGGCGGGGGGGTGCAGAGGAAGCGGAGGGGCTGACGGGAGAGCTGAGGGAGATGAGAGAGCTGGAGCACCTGGACTTCTCCCCATGGCATGCGGGGTATGGGTTTGGCGGCGCTGAGTTTGGCAGCGGCTTGTGAGATGGGGAGGAAGGCACAGCGAGCTGCACGAGGATGCTAGATGCCTGCTGCTGCGGCGGCAATGGGTTTGAGTAGCTGGCTGCTGTGGGTCCGACCACTCGGTTTGGGCACCCGGCCTCCTCCCTGCCTCCTCCCTACCTCCTCCCTGCCTCCTCCCTACCTCCTCCCTGCCTCCTCCCTGCCTCCTCCCTGCTTCCTTACCTGCTACTTCCCTGCATCCGGCAGTGTCTCTGTGTTCGCCTCTATCTGTAGCGTGGGTACCACCCCTACATACTACCACCAAGGTAGTGGGGTGGGGTGCGGTGGAATGGGGTGGGGGCAGATCATGGGGTGCACTATGCTCAGCATCTCTTGGGTTGGATTGAGTCTGTAGGTTGTCTCTGGTCTCTTTCCTCCTCACTGCCCCCATCCTTTTTGCAATCAAGCAAAATCCATTGGACCGTCGTCCATATTCATCTCACTGTACTACCTCAGTACTGAAAGAATTCGAAAGGTGGTGTAGGAGACTAAGCATAGAATCTGCAGACACAAGTCTTTGAAGTAGAAAGTACTACCGGAAGTACCTCCAGTAACAGCCAGTATTAACAAGTTGTAACACCAGAGTCAGTGTTACAGCCTTGTGATACTTCAAGAACCAAGGATCTTTGCTGGAATGGTAGACTAGTAAGCAGGGCCTCAGATTGCAGGCTTTTTACCCTGATTCAGGGTAAAATCAGGGTTTGTTTTACGGGTGACCCTGATGAGACAGGGTTTTTTTGTAACACGGGCCTGAAATTTCAGCATTCTTTTTAAAGTGAACTCTGATCGATCAGCGTGACTGGTGTAGTGAGGCCTGTTTTTCCAGCGTCGTATTGGGGACCGACCCTGACACTACGTGTAATAGCGGATTCCGAGCTCCAACCCCCCCACCCGTTATTTCCGAATTCCCCCCCCTCACCCTCCCTGTCAATCACGCCAACTTGACACAGTAGGGGCTGATTTCGGCTAAGTCCTCAAAGTTAGCAACAACCCTCCGAAAACCCCCGCTTCTCCAAAAAATTGGCTAAGTCCTGAAAGTTAGAGACAATCCTCGGAAACCCCCCCGCTGCTCTAAAATTTCGGCGAAGTCCTGATTCCTGAATGCTAGAGTATAGAACAGCGCATGTTCGATACAGCGCTGCCCAACGCTGTGTTCGGAGCTGGGCAGTGGCGCGAACAGCGCACGACGTGGCACGCGATTGTGGGCTGCACGATGTGGCACGCGATTTTGCCACGTAAAAACGGGAACCACTTGGTCATCAAGTGGGGCCCCACTTGATTTTTGCCCAGCGAATGCACGAAAAAAAGGAATAGCGGAGGGGGGTCCCTCTTGAACCCCCCTGCAGAAAAAGCCGAGGCCCACGTGGCCTGCGAAAAACGTCGCAGCGCCAGGCTGTCAATAGTTTTTCGCCTCGAGCCCACATTGGCTAAAACACTCGCGCAACCAATAGGATTTGTGCAACCCTATTTTGATTTCGGATTGTTACAAATTTCGGGGCACTGGGACGTTTCGTTTTTTCGCCAGGTTTTGGGACTTCGTTTTTTCGCACCCACTCAAGAATCAAAAGGGACCCCCTTCTGCTATTTTGCCGTCGGGTTTTAAACAGGGTGTTTTTTTGTGGTTGACCATGTTAAGAACTTAGGATGCTAGGTCCCTAAAGTTAGGACACTAGCTTAGCTAGGATAGGAGCAAGGCCGCCATGGAACGGCGCTAGGAAAAACGGATCTAGGAGTAGGAGGAAAGTCGAGAAGAAAGAGAGTTGGATTAGGAAGAGAAGGGAGTACAAGGAGGGGTTTGTACCCCCTACAGAAAGGTTCAGTAGCAACCTACCAAGCCTATATAAAATTATAACTTATATAATTTTAACACACCCCCTAGGCTTGGTAGTGTCAAGCCCACTCACACCCCCACACCCGCACCCAACCCACCCCCTAACCCCGCACACCCTCAGGCTCGTGCTTAGTCGGGTATCTGACCCTCAGGCAAAGCGTTGACACACCCCCGTACACGAGGCAGCCGACGGCGTCTAGGCGGGTCAGCGACAAGCAGCCGCGGAGCTCTGGCTCAAGGCGGCTGGGTCGCCGACGACAGGCGGCGACTGCCGCGGCTGAGGGCTCTCGGCGATATGGCAACGTCCGGGCAGAAGACAGCAGCTGCGACAGGAGGAAGGGAAGACGCAGGGGGAAGGGAGAATGGGGGGGGGGGGGGGGGGGGGGGGGGGGCGGGGCGAGTCTTCAGCGTCGCGCCATAAATGGCGCGGCGCTTACAGGCGGGACGACGGCGTCCTGGCAGGGGGCGACGGGGCCGGGCAGAGGGCGACGGGGCCAGGCAGGGCGCGACGGGGCCGAGCGGGTGCGATGAGGCCAGGCAGGGCGCGACGAGGCCCAGGAGGGGCGCAGCCGCGGCGTCGCGCTGACGTCGTCCCGGTCGCGTGTCGAGACGGCTGCGGCAGGACGGCGCAGCCGGCGAACAGACGACGACGCCACAGCGTGACGCCGCCGCGGCCGCCATGGCAGCGTCGATGCCGCAGCGGGGCGTCGACGCTGCGACTGCAGAACGACGGCCCGACTCCGCGGCAGCGCGTCGGGCCGGTCGCGGCACGACGCGCCCAGTGGCAGCGCGACGTCGCCACTGCAGCAAAACGCGGCCGCCATGGCCGCTGGAGTGAATGAGGGTGAGGAGTAAATGGCGGAAGCGAGAGGAGGCAGTCCAGCAGGAAGGATCTCCTGCTCTGATACCATGTTAAGAACTTAGGATGCTAGGTCCCTAAAGTTAGGACACTAGCTTAGCTAGGATAGGAGCAAGGCCGCCATGGAACGGCGCTAGGAAAAACGGATCTAGGAGTAGGAGGAAAGTCGAGAAGAAAGAGAGTTGGATTAGGAAGAGAAGGGAGTACAAGGAGGGGTTTGTACCCCCTACAGAAAGGTTCAGTAGCAACCTACCAAGCCTATATAAAATTATAACTTATATAATTTTAACAGACCATGCTTATTTAGCGCAAAATTTATACAACACCCTGATTGATCAGCGTTTTTTTTTTTTTTTTTTTTTTTTTTTTTCGAGGCCTGAAAAAACAGGGAGCTACGAATGGGGGAACTTGAGCGATCAGCGTGCCCCAATCCGAATCTGAGGCCCTGCTAGTAAGGCAGCGGAAGTATAGAACTTGTAAAGTGTTGACGAGAATTTACTGTAGAACAAGTTAACAATTGAAGTTGTACAAGCTACTTTTATATCTGCTAGAAGTACCTATTCGGTGATATACCTGTTCGAGCTATTTGCGATATGCGCTCTAACCGCTGCTGAAAAGAGCACGACTATTCGTGTGACTGAAACAACTTGCAGACGTAATCATCCAGACGAGCGCTATTTGCTGACGTCATTCTACGGATGCTAACTGTCAAACATATATTGTTATGCTTGTATAGACTGTATAGGTTTGTGTCTTAGAGGGTACAGCTTCTAGGTTATATTCCCTTGTACTCTCCATTCTAGTCCATTCTCTCATTCTAACATGGTATCATGAGTAGGTTAGGTCCATCTAGCCCACCCGCGCTTCCGCCCTAGGCCCTAGCCGCCCTCGTGCGCGTTCCTAGCCGGCCCCTTGCGCCCCTAGCGCCGTCGCGCCCGTCCTAGCCAGCCCCCTGAGCCGTCGCGCCCGTCCTAGCCGGCCCCTCGCGCCGTCGCGCCCGTTCCTAGCCAGCCCCCTGAGCCGTCGCGCCCGCCCTAGCCGGCCCCCTGAGTCGTTGCGCCCGTCCTAGCCGGCCCCCGTAGCCGTCGCGCCCGTCCTAGCCGGCCCCTCGCGCCGTCGTGCCCGTTCCTAGCCGCCCCCCTAAGTCGTCGCGCCCGTCCTAGCCGGCCCCACGAGCCGTCGCACCTATTCTTAGCCGGCCCCCTGAGCCGTCACGCCCGCCCTAGCCGGCCCCCTGAGTCGTCGCGCCCGTCCTAGCCGGCCCCCCGCGCCGTCGCGCCCGTCCTAGCCGGCCGCCGTAGCCGTCGCACCCATCCTAGCCAGCCCCCGTAGCCGTCGCGCACGCCCTAGCCGGCCCCCTGAGCCGTCGCGCCCGTTCTAGCCGGCCCCTCGCGCCGTCGTGCCAGTCCTAGCCGGCCCTCGCGCCTGTTCCTCACCGGCCCTCGCGCCCGTTCCTAGCCGGCCCTTGCGCCCGTTCCAGCCGCCCCCCTGCACCCGTTCTCGCCGGCCCCTCGCGCCCGTTCCTAGCTGGCCCGCGCACATGTTCTAGCTGGCCCCTCGCGCCCGTTTCTAGCCGGCCCCTCGCGCCCATTCTAGCTGGCCCCTCGCGCCCGTTCCTAGCCGGCCCCGTGCACCCGTTCCTAGCCGGCCCTCACGCCCGTCCCTCACCGGTCTTCGCGCCCGATCCAGCTAGCCCCCTTGCGCCCGTCACCTGCGCACGATAGACGTGACCTGGCACTCTGCCTGCACTGAGACCCAGCTTAGAGCCTTTCAGCCGACCCTCTGCTCTACCCTCTACTTGCTTGCCACCCGCCTCCCTGATCGTCTTGCAACTGCCCACGACCGCTTCCTTAGCATCCACCTCGGTGACCTCACCCTCACTGACTTTGTCGAAACCATGTCTGCCATAGAGACCCCCCAGCGCTCTATCGCCCAGACCAGCGGTACTGTGCCGGTCCCTATCTTTCAGGGTTGTGCCCCCGCTCAGTGCACCTTCTCTGACGGTTCTGCTGCTGTGGCTGAGTCTGCAGATGCAGCGCAGATCCGTTCCGAGAAGGGCCGTCGCCCCAAGGCTGGGCGCGGCGGTGGGGGTGGCGGTGCTAGTGGAGGTGGTGGTGGAGTCAGGTTGCCTAGTGGTAGCGCTGATGAGGGGACCCTGACAGGTACAGCTGAGCAGCCGTCTCAGCAGCTGCAGGTGTCGCAGCCGGATACGCACCAGCCGCAGCAGCAGCCCTCGCACACGCCGCAGCAGCCGCAGCAGCAGAGGCAGGCAGGTGGTCTCCCGCCCGGGTGGCCTGGCGCTGGTGGTGGCGCTGGACGTGGTGGTCGTGCGTGTGGTGGGCTGTCGGGTGGCGGTTCGGGTGACGGGCGCTGCCAGTACCTGCTTCAGACTGGTCCTCACTGTGGCTTCGTTTGCGGTAAGATCGGTCACACCTCCGTCCGCTGTTTCCGTCGCCTGGACGACCTGTTTCGTCAGCGCTTCGGCCCGTCGCCCGACCTCCCCGACTGGCACAGCTTGCTTCGCTGTAGCGTTCAGATTTTTGATCTGGACATGGATGAGATTGTTGCTGATAACTCTAGTGTGACTGCTTCTTACTACCCCTTGTTGCCTAGTGTAGGCGTGTCTAGTCGTGCCTCCCCTGTTGCGTCAGGCATAGGATCCCCTGCTTTGTTTAGCCTTGGTTCTTCTGTCGCTGCTCCGACTCCGGACGTCACTGCCGCGCTCTCCTTCACCTTGGACTCTGGTGCTTCTCGGTGTTTCTTTCGCGACTCCACTATGCTGACGCCGCTTCCTGCTCCAGCTGCAGTTTCCCTTGCCGACCCCTCCTCCAGCCCCGTAGTCGCCCGCAGTTCCACCACCCTTCCCTGTCCAGCGGTTCCTTCGGGCTCTCTTAGAGGCCTGCACATCCCCTCATTCTCCAGGAACCTAGTTGGTGTTGGCTGCCTCTAGGACCTTGGCGTCACCACTACGTTCCCTGGTCATGAGCGG